TCGACCTTCCGGTCCATAACCCCGTGACCTTCCGGTCCATATCATCTTGACCTTCCGGTCCTTACCATACATAACATACATAACACATACATATCACGTAACCGCATATAGCACATACATCTCATAGCATACAAGACCTTCCGGTCACACATATCACATAACCGCATATAGCACATACATCATAGCATACAAGATCTCACAGTCACACATAGGTACCCTTCCAGGTACAATATAGTGAGAAGAATCACCTCAATGAAGTCGGATAAACTTTCGTGCTCAACGTCCCGACTTAGCCTCCTCCTATTATTCAAATAACATCCCCGATCAATATTCTCTCATGATCTCATCTCTACAAATTGGGTAGAAGGCCATTCTACCCTTCCCTAAACTCTCTTGAATCAGTCTTGACCAGAACCCTAAGGTCAACGAAAGTCAACGGTCAAACTTTGACCCGAATCGTCGAGTGCACAAGGGCGACTCGACGAGTCCATGCGGGTCCTCTGAATCCTTTCAGCCTCTCTTGGCTCGTCGAGTCATCCTTCCACTCGACGGGTTACACCCGTCACGAATCACGGGGCAACCCCGACTCGAATCGTCGAGTCCACTTATGGACTCGGCGAGTTGCTCCCACAACAACTCTCAAATGACCTTCTGAGGTCAGATCTGCTTCTCTAAACTATAGATCTGGACTTCAAGTGCTCAAAGGTCACGTAAAGGTGCAACCTTTACGTGCATGCAACCCACATCAAGTCATAAATGGAGAAATAACTCTAAAAATGGCAACCTAGTCTCCAATCCTCCATGAACAAGCATAAAGCAAAATGGGAAAGGTTCTCTGGACCTCTATGGGTCCAGATCTGAGGCCTAACCCAGCAAGGGACCATAAACTCAACTCTTCAAGCCTTCAAAGGTTATAGAAAACCCTAAATCATAGATCATAACCTAAAACAGAAAGGAAGTTCGACTTGATACCTCAATAGTGTAGATCTGAACTTGAAAACTCTGGATCCACAGCTCCCTTGACCTCCTCTTGTTGGAAACCACTTCTCTTTTGCTAAAACACTCAAGAAATGGTGAATTAGCCTTTCTCTAGCACCACAAACGCCCTCTCTCTCTCTCTCTAGGGTTTCTCAGGGGTGAAATGGCCGCAATGGAGGCTATAAAGGCCTTTAAATAGGGCACATGCCCCGAGAATTAGGGTTTCACTTAACAGCGCGGACTCGCCGAGTTCACGCATCGACTCGTCGAGTCCTTCACTAAATCAGACCAGAAAATGCGCGATCCCACTCGGCGAGTCTGAACGCCTACTCGCCGAGTCCCTTTCTAAAATTCAATATAAATACTTAAAATAAGATACATGGGAATCCGGATGTTACAGTGAACCTCTCCCAGGTCACCTCTGAAATCTCTGCAAGAGTGAAGCTCGCCGTCACGAACTTCCACCAGTCCTTCGCTCCCAAGCGAAGCTGGTTCAGCGCGAACCGTACCCTCAGATGCTCCGGACATGAACACGTGTAGAAGCATCCCTCAATATCAGAAATCCATCTCATCGCAGCGATCGGATCCTGCGTCCCGTCAAACTCTGGTGGCTTCGTGTTGCTGAACTCGCGAAACAACAACGAGTCACCTCCATGGGGCCTGGCAGCAGCCACAGCTGCAGTAGCTGCAGCAGCCGCAACCTCAGTCACCGCTGCGTACCGCTCATCAAAAGTATCAATCAGTGTGGCCTTGATAGACCCAAACATCTCCGAAATCTCGGCTCGAATCGCCGCTGCCACCTCATCGTGGATCATCTGACGAAGCTCCTCGTCACTCACGCCGCTCGTCTCAGGTCTGTGGCGTGTCCCAACCATGATGTCTCTGAAACACAACATAATAATATCAGAGACTCGCTCGAGCATACTCGCACTCGATAACTCAACCCTACTTGTTCCCTAGTACCCTAAGGATTCTTACTTGGACTGCGCACTGATCCGGTGTCTTCAGTAGTACGGGCCCTATACTACCGTCCACACCGCATCAGTCACCCCAAGTCCTCCTCCTTGGATCCCAGATCCCAAGTACTCTACATCTCGCTAGCATAGGCTACCCTTCGGTAGGCCTCTCATAAGCTCCTCACTGCTACCTACTCACCCTCAAGCATCTCATAGCAGCAGAAATATTCCTAGGCTAAGGCATCACAAATCAGGCCACTCTAGTCCTAATATGAATACCTAGCCTACTTTAGCATAACATAACATATCATAACCTATCTCATAACACATAATGTAAGGGTATTTTGGGAAATCACCGTTCTGGCGCTGGCTGATCGTACACACTGCTTCCTTCTGTCTTTCTTAAATCCTTTTACTTCTTCAGAAAAAAATTGTTTATTTTATGAAAAACTTCCTCAAATCCTCAGTTTGAGTTCAAATACACCCGAAGGTGCATCCGAATCCCTCAAACCAAGACTCTGATACCAACTTGTAACAACGTAAATTTTCAAAACAATTTTTCATTTTTAAGTCATATTTTCAATCATCAAAAACAATATCAAACAAACTGTATCCAATGTCATCATAACAACAAATCCCAGAATCTCAAAACATAATCTCTATGAGTGTGTACGGATCATGCCGGCGTCTTCCCACGATCCTCACTAGTACCTGAAACACATAACACAACAACTGTAAGCATAAATGCTTAGTGAGTTCCCCAAAATACCACATACAACACATACGCCTTTCCAGGCCATAACTCTGTGGGACCTTCCGGTCCAAGTGTCTCAGGGGACTTCCGTCCCACAACCCTGGTAGACCTTCCGGTCCTACCCGTAATGACCTTCCGGTCCATATCATCCTGACCTTCCGGTCCATAACATCCTGACCTTCCGGTCCACATCATGATGACCTTCCGGTCCTTATCATTCATAACATACATAACACATACATCTCATAGCATATAAGACCTTCCGGTCACACATAGGTACCACTGTAGGTACAGTATAGTGAGAAGACTCACCTCAATGAAGTCGGATAAACTCTCGTGATCAACGTCCCGACCTAGCTTCCTCCTCCAACAGCTTCCTCTGATCAAATAGAAGTGGATCCAAGCTCCTCAACCCGCTTAGCTTGTTCCACCTCCTTCCTTCTTGCTAAAACACACAAGAAATGGTAAATTAGCCTTCCTATTGCACCACAAACGATCTCTCTGCTCTCTAGGGTTTCTCAGGGGTGAAGTGGCCGCAAATGGAGGCCATAAAGGCCTTTAAATAGGGCACAGACCCCGAGAATTAGAGTTTCAATCCACAGCGCGGATTCGTCGAGTCCATCCTTTCCGACTCGTCGAGTCCGTTCATTAATCCAGTCAGCACACGCGATCCTACTCGATGAGTCTACGTCTCAACTCGTCGAGTCCCTCCCTTTTACTCAAAAAAATGAATGATCAAACATAATACCTGGAAATCCGGATGTTACAAAGTGTATGTTCCTAAAAAGCAAGTGGAGGTGAAAATTAGCTCAAATTTTGATGATGTTGGGTCTACTTCTGGTAAGGATAGTCAAGAGGATTTTATTTCTAAAAATCCTTTTGATGTTTTAAATGATGAGATGGTTCTGAGGGATTTTTCTTATCTTGATGAAATGGATCAAGAGATTATCACTGGTAGTGTCCAGGAGTCAAACACCAAAGTTCAAGATGTTGATAAATGATGATAAGCTTCGGTTGTTGGAAAGTGAGGGGCACCAAATCTAAGGCCTAAGCAAGAGGAAATTAAGAATGTTATTAGATCTAATAATTTGTCGCTTTTTGCCATTCTTGAATCTCAAGTGCGGTTTAATAAGCTTCAGAGGACTTGCAATTCGGTTTTTGGTAATTAGATGTGGATCTCAAATCATGAGTTTAGTAATAAGGGCACGCGCGTTATTATTGGTTGGGATCCGGAGGAATTGGTTGTTATGCCAGTTGAGTCCAATGATCAGGTAATGCATTGCAAAATCCTATTTATTAAAGATAATAAAAGGATTTTTTCGTCCTTCATATATGCTTGTAATTATCATATGGATAGAAGGAAGTTATGGGATTTTCTTGAGAAGCATAAAGTTGTGGTTGGATCTTTTCCGTGGCTGCTTGCTGGTGACTTTAATGTGACTAGAGAGCTTATTGATTCTACTGCTGGGAATTCTATTATCTCTAGAGGAATGGTGGATTTTAATGAATGTATGAATAAAATTGAAGTTCAAGATTTGAATAAAAATGACATTCACTTCACTTGGAATCAAAGACCGAAAAGGAGTAATGGTATTCTAAAAAAATTGGATCGTGTGATGGGGAATATCAAGTTTATTGAAGATTTTCCATGTGTTTTTGCGAATTTTCAGCCTTATCGCAATTCTGATCATAGTCCGATGGTGATCAAATTTCCGATGAAAAAGAAATTCAGAATAAGACCTTTTAAATTTGTTAATGCTATTGTGTTGAGAGATGAGTTCCTTCCTACAGTTGCTAAGTACTGGAATACTCATGTTGAAGGTTTTGATATGTTTCGATTATGTCAAAAGTTGAAGATTTTAAAAGTTCCTCTTCGAAAGCTGATGGCAAGTCAAGGAAAATTACAGTGGAAAAGTTCAAAAATGCAGGGAAGAGCTGGATAAAGTTCAATTGGAGCTTGATTTGGATCCTTTTAATGTTGATCTCCAAAATGAAGAAGGTGCTTATTTGCAAGCTTTTATCAAAGCCAGTGAAGAAGAAGAGAGTTATTTGAAGCAAAAAGCTAAAGTGCAATGGTTAAAAGAGGGTGATTGTAGTTCTTCTTATTTCCATAAAGTGGACAAGGGCAAAATTAATAGGAATAGGGTTGAAACTATTCTGGATGGTGAAGGAAACTGGTTGGAAGGGGAAGAAGCTTATAAAAGGATAGTTGATTATTTCAGGGATTTTCTTGGGGTTGAACATAATGTTAACCCTATTGTTATCCTAGTAATCTTTTTCCTAATAGATTATCTCATTCTCAAGCTCATGATATGGTGAGAGATGTCTCATATGAAGAGATTAAAATTGCTTTGTTCGATATTGAAGATGACAAAGCTCCGGGACCTGATGGGTATTCTGCCAAATTTTTCAAAGTTGCGTGGGAAATAGTGGGTGATGACTTCCGCAAGGCTGTTAAAGAATTTTTTTGCAAAAAGAAAATTCTTAAGGAAATAAATGCTACTGCGATTGCTCTTGTGCCTAAAGTTCAGACTCCAGGGAAAGTTAGCGATTATAGACCCATTGCGTGTTGCAATGTGGTTTATAAATGTATTAGCAAAATCATTGTGAATCGAATCAGGGATCTTCTTGGGATTTTGGTCTCGGATAATCAGTCTGCTTTTATTCCTGGCCGATCGATTTTGGATAATATTCTGTTATCTCAAGAGTTGGTGCGTGGATACCACATAAAAAGAGGTTATGCTCGTTGTGCCCTGAAGGTGGACATCCAAAAAGCTTATGATACTGTAAATTGGAAGTTCCTGCAAACCATTCTTGTTAACTTTGGGTTTCATAGCTCTATGATCTCTTGGATTATGAATTGTGTTTCCACTTCTTCTTTTATGATTAACATTAATGGAAATTTTCATGGATTCTTCCAAGGAAAACGTGGATTGAGGCAAGGTTGTCCTTTGTCTCCTTATCTTTTTACTCTGGTGATGGAAGTTTTCAATTTAATTCTGAAGAGATGTATAAGGGAGAATGAGGGATTTAAGTACCATTGGAGATGTCATGCCCAGAATCTTACTCATCTCTGCTTTGCAGATGACTTGATGCTTTTTTGTCATGGTAATTCAAGGTCTATAAAGATAATCAAGGATGCTATGGATGAATTTGCTGGTGTTGCAGGGCTGATTCCTAACTTAGCTACAAGTCATATCTTCTTTGGGAATGTTAGAGAGCCTTTAAAAAAATCGATTCTTGATATTCTGCCTTTTGTTGAAGGCAAATTTCCGATGAAATATCTTGGCATTCCTCTCATTTGTACGAGGCTTTTTAAAAGAGATTGCAAAAGTCTCGTTGAAAAAGTGAAGTTAAGAGTCAATAACTGGAAAAATAAGACCTTGTCTTATGCTGGAAGACTTCAGTTAATAAGATCTGTTCTTGCTTCTCTTCCTGTTTATTAGGCTTCGGTTATGTTGCTTCCTAAGTCTGTTACTAGTGAGATTGAGAAGAGTATGAGGAATTTTCTCTGGAGTAGTGGTGATAATAGAAAAGGAGTTGCTAAAGTTTCTTGGGGTGAGATCTGTAAACCGGAAAAATTTGGAGGCTTAGGGCTTAAAAATCTCAACGATTGGAATATTGCTCTTCTTTCGAGTCGGAAGATTATAAGTGGGCATGATTCTCTTTGGGTAAAATGGGTGAAATCTTATCTATTAGACGGGAGGAGTTTTTGGGATATTGGAGCTAAAGATAAAATGAGCTGGAGCTGGAGGAATCTGTTAAAGATTAGACCTTGTCTTCGGGATTTTTTCTTTGTTCAATTAGCGAATGGGGAAAATACTTTCATGTGGTATGACAACTGGCATCAATTAGGACCTTTGAGTTATGTGTTGACTCCCAGGGAAATAGCTAATGCTGGTTTCAGTATTACTGATAAAGTCAATGATGTGATTACTCATGAGAATTGGTATTGGCCTAATGAATGGTTGAGAATCATTCCACAACTTGGAGATTTTCCTGTCCCTAGACTTGTTAGAGGGAAGAAGGATACGGTTTATTGGCTTAATGGAAGAAAAGATCCTGTTCCTTTTGCTGTTAAACAAGTTTCTAATACTCTTATTGTTCAAAACTCGAATGTGGGATGGCATGATCTTGTCTGGTTTCAGCAAAGAATCCCTAATCATTGTTTTATTTTATGGTTGGCTATTCTTGGAAGGCTGAGAACCCAAGACAGAATGAAAAAATGGAAATCTACTTGTGATTTCAGTTGTGCTTTCTGTAATGATCAAATTGACTCTCACTGTCACCTCTTTTTTGAATGTAAGTTTCCTATGGAAGTTTGGAGCAAGGTGAAGAGTAGATTGAATATCACTCATATGGATGGTAATTGGTTTGAGATCATTCAAGAACTTCAAATTACCCTCAAGAAGAAGAATATTCAGAATTTTATAAAGAAATGTGCTTTGGCTGCTACAGTTTATCATCTTTGGTGTGAAAGGAATAAGAGACTTTTTGGAAGAGAAAATAATGTTGTTGAAGTAGTTGTTCAAAGAATTATGGAAGATATTAGATTGAAGTTATTTGGTCTTAAATTTGGTTATTTGGGGCTGAATATCGAGATTTGTAAACAATGGAAAATCCCAGTCAAAAATGTTAATGGGTCTGGTGGGGATTGATTTAAGGTGCAAGTTGGTCAAAAGAAAGTTGTCGCAGGTGAGCTGCGATGAGATCAGATTGGCGAGAATAAAGAAGGGGTCTAATAAAAAGGTGTTATTGAGTAATTGGCAAAAAAGGTATTTGGGTAATTTAATCTTGATTTACTTGGATATTGAAGAGGAGTGGGGTTTGTTTCTCTTCCCCTGTTGTCGCAGGTTCACAAGGAAGAATGGATACAGTCGATTTGGAATATTTTATTATTGGGTCGAGAGGATTAATGGAAAGGGGCATATTGGGTATTTCCCAAAAATTGATGATTTTTGTCAGTTGTTCGAGCAGAGAGATGGTTGGTGTGGGATGAATAAAATTTGGGATTTTTTGATTGACAGTCTTTTTCCCTTTGTTATTAATTTGTGGAAGCAGGGGCATTTTGGTCAATTTTCTGTTTGGAATTCTTGGATTTGGAAGAATTCTAGTTTTATAAATGGAGTTTTCCTTTTTTATTTGATTAAAGGAATTTTCGGATATGGGAGGGCTAATAAGAAAGGGCAATCTGGGTATTTCTCTAAATTTGAAGATTTCTGGTCATGGTTTGAGAGAAGTGGTGGCTGGTGTGGTTCGAAGAAGGATTGGGAGTCTATTTTCGATGTTTCTTTTTATAGTTTGCATAATAATTGGAGACAGGGGTTTTTTAGTCTTATTCTTGTAAATATATATGGATTTGTTCTTTTTGAGTTTAATTCTTGGAGAATGAAGATTATTGAGATGAAGAGAAGTAAAGTTCGAAATGACTTGTGGCTCAAGGATAATGTTGTTGGTTGGAGATTGGAGGTTTTTGATAAAAGGAAAAACAGAGATCAATTTAATGCTATTGGCGGAGGTTTTTTTCTGTTTTGATGGAAGGGCATAATTGGAAAATCAGGAATTGGAGATATTTTTCTTTATTAATGAATTTGTTATTCATTTTTTCATTAAAAGAATTGACGGACATGAGATTTTTATCACTTTTTCCCTTAAAAGTGAATTGCATCTCGGTTTGATCCCGAGTGTCATTTGGTTTACGCCTTATGATGTGGTTTTAATTCATTTACATATGGGTTTCATTCCCATTTGTTGTGAATTTCCGCCTTGGAAACAAGGTGTTTATGTTCAAGGAATTGACGGTTTTGGGATTTTTATCACTTTTTTCCTTAAAAGTGAATTGCATCTCGGTTTGATCCTGAGTTTCATTTGGTTTATGCCTGATGATGTGGATTTAATGCATTTACATTTGGGTTTTATTCCCAATTGTTATGAATTGCCGTCTTGGAAACAAGGTGTGTACATCCAAGGATTTGACGGATTTGAGATTTTTATCACTTTTTCCCTTAAAAGTGAATCTCCGCCTTGGAAACAAGGTGTGTATTTCCATGGAATTGACGGATTTGAGATTTTTATCTCTTTTTCCCTTAAAAGTGAATTTCCGCCTTGGAAACAAGGTGTGTATATTCATGGAATTGACGGATTGGGGATTTTTATCACTTTTTCCCTTAAAAGTGAATCTCCGCCTAGGAAACAAGATGTGTATATCCAAAGAATTGACGGATTTGGGATTTTTATCACTTTTTCCCTTAAAAGTGAATTTCCGCCTTGGAAACAAGGTGTGTATCTTCATGGAATTGACGGATTTGAGATTTTTATCACTTTTTCCCTTAAAAGTGAATTTCCGCCTTGGAAACAAGGTGTGTATATTCATGGAATTGACGGATTTGGGATTTTTATCACTTTTTCCCTTAAAAGTGAAATTCCGCTTTGGAAACAAGGTGTGTATATTCAAGGAATTGACGGATATTATTTTTGTATAATCTCAAGTTTTAAGCTCATAATGGAGAATTTTTGGATGATGGATGAAGATGATGACATTGGGATTGCTAAATTGGAAAGGAAGGGTATTCATGTTTGGGTGCTTGAAGAGTGGTTTAGTTTGAAGATTTTGAAGAATAATAATTATCTTGGGAAGAGGATTGGTTATAATGTAGATTTTTTTGTCAATGGTCTTTGGAGTGATTTATTCTTTATTTGGATGGCTAAAGTTGAGAGATTGCTTGTTCAAAGATAGTTGCTTGAAGATTGGATTGGTTCAAAGATTTTGAAGGATAATGGTTTTTTTTGGGATGAAGATTGGATACATTGAAGATTTTTTTGTTGATATTGGGATTTGGTTTGACCTTTTTAATGGTAGGGTTATTATGGTTATGGGAAATTGGAATTATATCCTCATAGAAGCCTACAAGGTGTTACTTTTTTTGGGTTATATGAAGAAGATAAATAAAAGCATAAGGTGTATAAAGTTGATTGCTAATTTGGTTCCTATTTTGGATTTGAAGTTTTGTCAAAAGAGATTAAAGATGTTGATATTTTTTGGGGTTTATAGAGTTTTTTTGATCACTTGGATTGGTTTGAAGAAGGAGGATTCCATTATTGGAAGATGCATGAAGATTAGAAGACAAATGGATTGCTTGGATTTTTGGAAGTATGAAGACCACTCCGGCTTGTGGAGTTGGAAGAAAATAATTAGTTGTTTCTTTGCTTTCATTGTTTTTGAACCTTGTATTTGGTTTTGGTACCTTTTTGATGTTTGGCTTTGGTTCACTTTTGGGGTTTGTCCAAAAGTGACTTAAACTCTTGTATTTTCTCTTTTTGTTATAAAATCTTTGCCGGGGCTGTGGCCTCTTTCCCAAAATAAAAACCCTAAACCCTAAACCCTAAACCCTAATCCCTAAACCCTAAAACAAGGTGTGTATTTCCATGGAATTGACGGATTTGAGATTTTTATCTCTTTTTCCCTTAAAAGTGAATTTCCGCCTCGGAAACAAGGTGTGTATATTCATGGAATTGACGGATTGGGGATTTTTATCACTTTTTCCCTTAAAAGTGAATCTCCGCCTTGGAAACAAGATGTGTATATCCAAAGAATTGACGAATTTGGGATTTTTATCACTTTTTCCCTTAAAAGTGAATTTCCGCCTTGGAAACAAGGTGTGTATCTTCATGGAATTGACGGATTTGAGATTTTTATCACTTTTTCCCTTAAAAGTGAATTTCCGCCTTGGAAACAAGGTGTGTATATTCATGGAATTGACGGATTTGAGATTTTTATCACTTTTTCCCTTAAAAGTGAAATTCCGCTTTGGAAACAAGGTGTGTATATTCAAGGAATTGACGGATATTATTTTTGTATAATCTCAAGTTTTAAGCTCATAATGGAGAATTTTTGGATGATGGATGAAGATGATGACATTGGGATTGCTAAATTGGAAAGGAAGGGTATTCATGTTTGGGTGCTTGAAGAGTGGTTTAGTTTGAAGATTTTGAAGAATAATAATTATCTTGGGAAGAGGATTGGTTATAATGTAGATTTTTTTGTCAATGGTCTTTGGAGTGATTTATTCTTTATTTGGATGGCTAAAGTTGAGAGATTGCTTGTTCAAAGATAGTTGCTTGAAGATTGGATTGGTTCAAAGATTTTGAAGGATAATGGTTTTTTTGGGATGAAGATTGGATACATTGAAGATTTTTTTGTTGATATTGGGATTTGGTTTGACCTTTTTAATGGTAGGGTTATTATGGTTATGGGAAATTGGAATTATATCCTCATAGAAGCCTACAAGGTGTTACTTTTTTTGGGTTATATGAAGAAGATAAATAAAAGCATAAGGTGTATAAAGTTGATTGCTAATTTGGTTCCTATTTTGGATTTGAAGTTTTGTCAAAAGAGATTGAAGATGTTGATATTTTTTGGGGTTTATAGAGTTTTTTTGATCACTTGGATTGGTTTGAAGAAGGAGGATTCCATTATTGGAAGATGCATGAAGATTAGAAGACAAATGGATTGCTTGGATTTTTGGAAGTATGAAGACCACTCCGGCTTGTGGAGTTGGAAGAAAATAATTAGTTGTTTCTTTGCTTTCATTGTTTTTGAACCTTGTATTTGGTTTTGGTACCTTTTTGATGTTTGGCTTTGGTTCACTTTTGGGGTTTGTCCAAAAGTGACTTAAACTCTTGTATTTTCTCTTTTTGTTATAAAATCTTTGCCGGGGCTGTGGCCTCTTTCCCAAAATAAAAACCCTAAACCCTAAACCCTAAACCCTAAACCCTAATCCCTAAACCCTAAAACCCTAAACCCTAAAACCCTAAAACCCTAAACCCTAAACCCTAAACCCATAATCTGTTGGTGTTTTCTTGTTAATTAGTTAAATTGTTGTGTTATTATGAGGAAGATTCATAGTGTTCGTAAGTCTTCAAGGAAAAAATTAAAATATCATGATGCAGAGGCTGATGTTCTTGGCTCTTTCCACTTTGAAGATAGCCCCCAAAAGGAAGAAGAGGTTGCTGGGTCTCGAAATACTCATGGAGATTCTGAGTTTGTTGAGAGTTCTTCATCTTCCACAGCCTTTTGTGTTAGCAATCACAACAACAAAGGTCTCTTCTTCTCCAACTCACCCGTCCATGTGTCGAAAGAAGCCTCCTGTGAACCCTCGGTTGAAAAAGGTGATTGTTGTACTCATGAAAATGAGGAAGTAGCAGGTCCTATTCATGTGTCTGGTAAAGAAAGGGTTCCTGAAAGTATTTTTGAAGATTCTTTTAATGCTCCCCAAGAAGCTGTCGAATCAGTAGTTGGAACCCATGCAAACGATGTAGCTTTTAAAAAAAATCGATATAATAGATGGAATGGTTGAGGATTGTTCAGATTCAGATGCTGAGGATTTGGTTTGCGTTCTCCCTTCTACCGGAATTTTCTCTCCGATTGTGACGACGCCAACCCCTCCCTCCGGCTCAGCTGCTGATGAACCCTCGTCGCTACCCCTCTTGACGTTGGAAAAGCGTGATGACCAGGTTAGCTTGCCACGATTTTCTAATGGAGGCGCTGTGGATGCGTTTGGCTGCTTCACTCCACCCCTCAACCTCCAGTCTCCTCCGTCTTCAGTGGTCTCATCCACTAATGGAAAAGATTCTCTTTCTGTTGAGGGTCGTACACTTTTCCCCGTCGTGCTCCTTCATGGGAATGGAAAATCTTCTGCTTAAGGAAAGTCAACCTCTGTGCATTAAATATACCAATTTGTTAGAAGATAATTTGGGTGTGAACATCGGGGAAGGAGCGGATGCAGGCACTTGTCGCAGAGAAAAGACATTTATTGCCCCTGGAGTCGTGGTCTCTCCAGCTCCTGCCACGTTTCCGGAGCAGCCACTTGTTGGTAATATGGAAAGTCAAAAGATGCCTTTTGGGAACTAAGGCTGTGGGTCACGATCTCAATTCCTTTTTGGGGGATGTGACCTCCTCTCGCATTTATTGCCCCCCCCAAAGATAGAGACTCAACATTTATTGCTTCTGACCCCACCCCTCCATCTCCTGGTCACGTGACTTTGGATTCCCCCCTATTGGTCGGCCTAATTTCGCAGATCCTTCTTATCTTCACTTTGGGCCTAACAGCCCAACTATTATTCAGCAACCTTTATCCTTTGTGGATATTGTTTTGGGCAACTCCAAGACTTCTATTATTGGGCCTCTATCCCCTGACCTCGTTGCAGATAACCCAACACGCAAGGATGCTCCAATTAATAATTCTGATGTCGAGGTGCCTTCTGTTATCCCCCTTAAACTTGATTTTGTTAACATTTCTAATTCCTTACATGATGATTTTTTGATAATACCTCCGGAGATCATGACTAATGTAGCACCTGGTTCTTGGTACGTATTCTTTTATTTAAATCTTTGAGTATTTTGCATTCTGGCCTTGGACTCGGCGAGTCAAAGGCTCGACTCGCCGAGTAGAAGCGGGAAGGGGCACGGGGTTTAAGTTGTGGACTCGCCGAGTCGGGTCCCGGACTCTGCGAGTATCCGCTGTCTGGACAAAAACCCTAATCCAGGGTCTTGCACCCTATTTAAACACTCTAACTCGGCCTCCCTTGTCCCGAACACTTCCAGAAGAGCTGTAGAGCGAAACCCTAGCCCCCATATTGTTCTTGTGAGTGATTTTGGCATTGTGAAGGAAGTTTGGAGCTTAGAAGAAGAAGGAGAAGGTCGAAGAGTGCAAGGAGGGGAACTCAGTAAGCTTCGTGCTTACAGTTTACAGTTTTGTTTCAGGTACCTCTTCAACGAAGGGGAAGGAGCTGGCGCGGTAGCGACACATCATACACACACACATTGGTTTTCCGCACTATGAGATGTTCTGGGATTGTACTCTGACATTATTATTATTATTTTATGATTTGGTTTCAGACATAAGATATATTTTAGGAGATGATATGATCGGATGATGTTTTACTACAAATGTTTTGCAAACCATTTATTTTAAATGAAATTTTTGGGCGTAAAAATTGGGTCGTTACAAGTTGGTATCAGAGCCCTGGTTTGAGGGATTCGGACACACCTTCGGGGTGTCTGGACTCAAATCGAGGGATTAAAAGAGTTTTATAAATAAATGATTTTCTAAAGGCTAAGTAAAAGAGTTTCGAGAAAGAACAAAGTGTGTGATGTGCGCGACCGGCCGAGCTCAAGTAAGTTTTTCCCAAAGTACCCATACAAGTTTATGTTATAATTATCAGTTTCAGTTTCAGTAGAACAACATGCTAGAATAGGACTAAGGACCTAGGAATAATGCCTTATGTGCCTGCTTTAAGTGTTCCAGCTTCATGAGAATTGCATGCTAGTACTAAGTAGACAGTAGTAGGGTAGCCTGTTTAGGTTATGCCTGATAGTATGAGCTTAGCATTGTATGCTAGTACAGATCAGTCAATATGATAGCCAGAGTAGTATATACTTGATTATGTGTACTCAATGCCCGAATGCTGCTTGCTATGTGCTTTTAGGAGTTCTAGTTGTCTTTCACTAACTAGTAAACGAATATGTTAAGTTACATATTGCAAGGACTAAATAATTTCAGAAGGTTGGGTCTAGCCCTATTTCGCAGCTCTTGTTTGAGTCCAACCGTTGTAGGGTGGGACCTCTCATTCGAAGAATTATCTAGTCTGAGTAATATGTAATAGTATTCGCGAGCTAGTTAGGGGAAGGAAGCAGGGACTTCTTATGCAGCTGATGGCAGAGAGTGGGATGGCGATTACCTAGGGCAAGCCTAGGACGAGAGTAGCATGAGATCAGCAGTAGTAGTAGAAGGGACTTGGTGGAGTCGAGGCTGTTCTTGAGGAAAGTACGGATAGATGTGGAAGGTAGTATGGGCCCGTACTACTGAAAGCAGAGGATCCGTACTTGAATTGAGAAAGGTTGAGGCGAGACCAGGAACCTTGCAGTAGATGTAATCCCTCTAAGGTGTGTCAGTACCAATAACAGTTGTCGTTATGTATCGCAGAATGGTGGTACTACGTTCAAGGCCAGCAGTTGGCAGTTCAGGAGAGGGATCGGGTTTGGGTTCAGGTTCCGAACCAGTGGATGAGAGGCTACGCGAGTTCATCGCGTCAGAGATCACCAGAGGCATCCTTGAGTCGACCCCCATCATCTTCGGGTCGATCAAGGAAGGGATAGTTGAGCTGATGGAGGACCGCCTCAGGGCGTTCAGGAGTGACATGGCATCTGGCCAGTCAGGATCTCGCACACTGTCCTTTAAGGACTTCAGGGGCAGTGGTGCGCCAGATTTCCATGGGGCGAAGGACCCCATTGCTGCCAGACGATGGATTGCAGACATTGAGTCTGCACAGCTGACCAGCTTCTGCCCTGAGGGGTCGAAGGTACGATTTGCAGCAGGATGTCTGAGGGACCGGGCTAGGGATTGGTGGGAGTCAGTTGGTGACTCTCTGGGAGCCTCGGCTGTTGAGGCTATGACATGGTCAGACTTTGTGACACGGTTCAGAGCGGAGTTCGCACCTGCAGTGGAGCTCCAGCAGTTAGCCAGGGAGTTCTTGGATATGAGGCAGACCACGGAGACTGTGGCGGAGATCACCGCCAAGTTCCGGGAGAGGGCGTTACTGGTGCCCCAGTATGCGGACGACGAGGACATGAGGAGGACCCGCTATCATGATATGCTACGAGCTGACATTCATGAGCATGTTAGCTTTTCAGCTTGTCCTACTCTGGATTCCATGATTTCCAGGGCAAGGGAGAGGGAGATTGATCTGGAGCATATCCGGAAGAGGAAGGCAGAAGAGGGGCAGGTTACGGGGGCTTCGGGGAAGAAGCCCAAGGGATCAGATGCTGGGCCGAAAGGCCAACAGAGCCGAGGCCGCTGTAGGAAATACGGCAAGGCGCATGAGGGGGCATGTAGAGTGGGATTGCCGGGCTGCTACAAGTGCGGCAAGATGGGGCACTTCAGCAGGGATTGTACCGCCCCTGCACCTGTGTTACAGACGTCAGAGTTGCTGTGTTTCCACTGCAACCAGAGGGGCCACAAGAAGGCCAATTGCCCCCAGTTGACTGCAGCAGCGCCAGTGAGGGCGCCAGCTCCAGCGACCCTGCGGATTACCGATGGCCGGCAGGGCAAGGCAGAGGCTCCAGTGGTGAGGAGTCGGGCATTTCAGCTGACTACCGAGGAGGCACGCGCTGCACCCGATGTGGTGACAAGTATGATTCTTTCCCTCTGATTTATTTTTATGGTGTCTATGTTATTGATATGTGCTCGGTTTAGGATCGTTCCATGTGAACGGCATCCCGGTTCAGGTGTTGTTTGATTCGGGCGCTACTCGATCATTCGTCTCTCTTGCGCTTAGCAAGAAGTTTCCTGCGTCTTCGGGCATGTTGGACTGCCCTTTAGAGTTCGAGATTGCGGACGACCGGTCAGTGCGAGCATCTGAGGTCTTCCGAGATTGTGTGCTGAGGTTATTTGAGGAGCGCTACTTGGTAGACTTCGTTCCCATTCCATTGCGTGGGAACAAGGTGATTATAGGCATGGATTGGCTCAGCCCTAATGGGGCAGTGATCGACTGCGCGCAGCAGTTGGTGCGGACCAGGACCGCAAGTGGGGGAGAGCTGGTGATTCAGGGCGAGAGGCCACATCGAGGACCAGCTATATGTTCAGCAGCGAGAGCTAGGCGTTACCTCCAGCAGGGTTGCACAGGTTATGTCACGTATGTTATGGATACCCAGGAGACGAGTAGGGCGACGGTGGGCGATGTGCCCGTAGTACGAGAGTTCGCGGATGTATTCCCCGAGGAGTTGCCAGGGATACCTCCGGAGCGACAGGTGGAGTTCAGGATCGACCTAGTTCCTGGTGCAGCTCCGATAGCCAAGGCACCATATCGGTTGGCTCCTCCCGAGATGCAGGAGTTGTCTACGCAGCTGCAGGAGCTGTTAGACAAGGGTTTCATTCGACCGAGCAGTTCACCCTGGGGAGCCCCGATCCTGTTCGTAAAGAAGAAGGACGGGTCGCATCGGATGTGTATAGATTATCGGGAGCTGAAAAAGGTAACGGTGAAGAACCGCTACCCACTCCCGAGGATTGATGACCTCTTTGACCAGCTACAAGGATCATCTTGGTTCTCCAAGATTGATTTGCGTTCAGGGTATCACCAGATGAGGGTCAGAGAGGAGGATGTGCAGAAGACTGCGTTTCAGACGCATTACGGCCACTATGAGTTTGTGGTGATGCCTTTCGGGCTCACTAATGCTCCTGCCGCGTTCATGGACCTCATGAACTGCGTATGTAGACCGATGTTAGACCGGTCTGTGATAGTGTTTATCGACGATATCTTGGTTTACTCCAAGACGCGAGAGCAGCATGAGGAGCATCTGCGGGAGGTTCTGGAGACTTTGAGGAGGGAGAACTTGTATGCTAAGTTCTCCAAGTGTGAGTTCTGGTTGCGTGAGGTGCAGTTTCTTGGGCACCTTGTCAACCAGAATGGGATTTCGGTAGATCCGGCCAAAGTGGAGGCCGTGATGAGTTGGGAGGTTCCGAGGTCTCCATCTGAGATTCGGAGCTTTCTGAGATTCGGAGCTTTCTCCAAGATAGCAGTTCCGCTCACCCGACTGACTAAGAAGTCGGTGGTGTATCGCTGGGGGCCTGAGCAGCAGGCCGCGTTCGAGGCATTGAGACAGAGATTGTGCGAGGCGCCAATAGCCCTGCCAGAGGGCATGGAGGATTTTGTGGTGTACTGCGATGCATCCATCGCAGGTTTGGGCGCGGTATTGATGCAGAGAGGGCATGTCATCGCCTATGCGTCGAGGCAGCTGAAGCCTCACGAGGCGAATTACCCGACGCATGATTTGGAGTTGGGGGCTGTTGTATTCGCCCTCAAGATTTGGCGTCATTACCTCTATGGGGTTCGTTGTACGATTTACACGGACCACAAGAGTTTGAGGTATCTCATGGATCAGCCAAATCTGAATATGAGACAGCGTCGGTGGCTTGATGTGATAAAGGATTATGATTGTGAGATCCTTTACCATCCGGGGAAGGCCAATGTCGTGGCCGATGCGCTTAGCCGCAAGGCAGCGCCGATCAGGGATATCTGTCTGAGGATGACAGTGGTGACTCCGCTTCTGGAACGGATCCGGGAGGCTCAGCAGGAGGCTATGAAGGAGGAACATCGGAAGAGTGAGCGGATTGTGGGACAGGTTTCCTCTTTCGACTATGATAGCCGAGGGTTATTGACTCTTCACCGTAGGGTGTGGGTCCCTTATCATGGAGGCGTGCGCCAGGTCCTGATGGAGGAGGCGCACACATCCCGGTTCTCCATTCATCCCGGGGCGACGAAGATGTATAGGGATCTTCGTCTGGACTATTGGTGGCCCTGCATGAAGCGGGATGTAGCATGGTACGTGGAGCGGTGCTTGACCTGCAGGAAGGTCAAGGCCGAGCATCAGAGACCACACGGCAAGATGCAGCCGTTGGATATTCCGCTGTGGAAATGGGAAGACATCACGATGGATTTTATCACCAAGCTTCCTAGGACCGCGCGGGGAATGGATTCAATCTGGGTCATTGTCGACCGATTGACCAAGAGCGCCCACTTTATCCCGATTCAGGAGAGCTTCTCGGCCGAGAAATTGGCCGATATCTATATCAGGGAGGTGGTGGCGCGGCACGGAGTGCCAGTTTTGGTGATTTCAGACAGAGATGTGCGGTTTACTTCCAGGTTTTGGAAGAAGTTTCATGACGAGCTGGGTACTCGTCTGCATTTTAGCACCACTTTTCACCCGCAGACGGATGGCCAGAGCGAGCGGACCATCCAGACTCTGGAGGATATGCTGCGGGCATGTGTTTTAGATTTTAGAGGTAGTTGGGATACCTACCTCCCGTTGGCGGAGTTCTCGTATAATAATAGTTATCATGCGAGCATTGACCGTCCTCCCTTCGAGATGTTATACGGGAGGAGGTGCAGGACCCCGATATGTTGGGGTGAGGTTGGCCAGAGAGTCATGGGGAGCACCGAAGTAGTGCTCAAGACGACAGAGAAGATTCAGCAGGTCCGGAGCAGGCTTCAGACTGCTCAGAGTCGGCAGAAAAGTTATGCCGATAAGCGTCGGTCAGACCTGGAATTCCAGGTCGGGGATATGGTCCTCCTGAAGGTGTCGCCATGGAAGGGCGTCATCCGATTCAGGAAGCGAGGCAAGTTGGGCCCCAGATACATTGGACCCTTCAGGGTTGTATCCCGGGTGGGCAAGGTGGCGTACCGGTTGGATCTGCCAGCCGAGCTCAGTCAGATCCACAACACTTTCCACGTCTCCTAGCTGCGGAAGTGCCTGGTGGACGACTCAGCAGTGGTACCCTTGGAGGACATTCAGGTTGATGACAACCTAAATTACATCCAGCGGCCTGTGGCGATCCTCGACCGGAAGTCGAAGGATCTGAGGAACAAGAGGGTTGAGCTGGTAAAGGTGCAATGGCAGCACCGGAAGGGGTCGGAATGGACATGGGAGCCGATGGATGAGATGATGGAGCATTACCCCGAGCTGTTTCAGGAGCAAGCAGCAGACTTCGAGGACGAATTCTAAAATAAGTGGGGGAGATTTGTAGCACCTGGTTCTTGGTACGTATTCTTTTATTTAAATCTTTGAGTATTTTGCATTCTGGCCTTGGACTCGGCGAGTCAAAGGCTCGACTCGCCGAGTAGAAGCGGGAAGGGGCACGGGGTTTAAGTTGTGGACTCGTCGAGTCAGGTCCCGGACTCGGCGAGTAGCCGCTGTCTGGACAAAAACCCTAATCCAGGGGCTTGCACCCTATTTAAACACTCTAACTCGGCCTCCCTTGTCCCTAACACTTCCAGAAGAGCTATAGAGCGAAACCCTAGCCCCCATATTGTTCTTGTGAGTGATTTTGGCATTGTGAAGGAAGTTTGGAGCTTAGAAGAAGAAGGAGAACGTCGAAGAGTGCAAGGAGGGGAACTCAGTAAGCTTCGTGCTTACAGTTTACAGTTTTGTTTCAGGTACCTCTTCAGCGAAGGGGAAGGAGTTGGCGCGGTAGCGGCACATCATACACACACACATTGGTTTTCCGCACTATGAGATGTTCTGGGATTGTACTCTGACATTATTATTATTATTTTATGATTTGGTTTCAGACATAAGATATATTTTATGAGATGATATGATCGGATGATGTTTTACTACAAATGTTTTGCAAACCATTTATTTTAAACGAAATTTTTGGGCGTAAAAATTGGGTCGTTACAACTAATGGCAGCATTCCTTTTGAACGTACCTTATATGGTTATTTTATCGGTAAAAGGCTTGCTTTTCCTCTTGTTAGAGACCGTCTCCAAGACTTATGGAAGGATCATGGAATTAGTGACATCTTTATTAATAACGACGACATGTTCTTCTTTAAGTTTGACAACGACAATGGCATGAATTATGTTCTACAAAAAGGAATTTGGCAGATTAATGGTATCCCGCTTTTCCTTAGAAAATGGGACCCGAATGTCTTTATTGAAAAACCAACGCATGACCGGGTTCCCGTTTGGGTTAATATTTTTGGAATCCCCTTCCAACTTTTTAGCAAGGATGGCTTAAGTCTTATTGCTAGAAAATTGGGAAAGCCTTTGGAGGTTGACTCCTACACTACCACCATGTGTGAGCGGGCTACAAGTAGAGCGGTTTTTGCCCGTATCCTCATTGAGATGTCGGCAAAAGATCCTTGGGCTAAGGATATAAAAATCAAAGCGATCACGGCTAAAGGTGCTACATCTACAACACTTAGAGTGGAGTATTCTTGGAACACAAAGAGATGCGATCATTGCAAAAATTTTGGGCATGACCATTGCCAGGGGTACTAGTCGTGTGAACGGGACAGGTGGCATGGTCATGACCAAAATGTTTGCAATTATCACATCTCTTAGGGTTCCAAGAATACTCCACTCTAAGCGTGGTAGATGTAGCACCTTTAGCCGTGATCTCTTTGATTTTTATATCTTTAGCCCAAGGATCATTTGCCGACATCTCAATAAGAAATTACAAAAAAGGGATTACCCTTGGCAAAATTTATTAAAATAAAGGAAATTACAAAAAAAGAGGACAAACGCCCAAGAAAAAATAAAAATATGACCAAGCTAAGGGACCAGCCCTAAAGAAAGGAAAAACAAAGCAAAACAAAGATCTAGCTAAACAAGACCTAAAAAACATCAACCCTGGTCAACTGGAATAGAGATATGTCCACCGTGAGAGGAGCTCGGATGAGTATCGGAAGATGGGAGGGAATCTCTTGGATGGATGACATAAGGGATGCAAGAATCGTCTTCAGTGTCGTCAATTCTTTGATGCGAGAGAGCATCAAACATTTTGGATGACAAATTCTTTTTCTTCGGATCACGAGGGATTGGCTTGTAGACTTGGGCGATCTTTAAGGCGGGCCCTTTGCTTTTACGATTGTCAAGTTGAACCTTCTTTTTAGAGATAGGGATAGCCCTAGTTCTCCTTTTAACCATTTGTAACCCTTCTTTGTCCGCTGCTATCGGAGTGGGCGTAGCCGTCTTTTGAACGGGAGGACAAGTCGAGTGAGTGGGGCAACTGACAAGATCGTGACCAAAAATTTTGCAATGGTCGCATCTCTTTGGGTTCCAAGAGTAGTCTACTTTAAGTGTGGTAGACGTAGCACCTTTAGCCGTGATTGCTTTGATTTTTATATCATTTGCGCAAGGTTCATTAGCCGACATCTCAATGAGAATACGAGCATAAACCGCTCTACCCGTAGCACGCTCACACATGGTGGAGGTGTAAGAATCAACCTCCAAAAGGCTTTCCAAGTTTACTAGCAATAAGACTTAAGTCATCTTTATTAACGAGTTGTAGGGGAATACGAAATATATTAACCCAAACGGGGACCCGATCATGAGTTGGTTTTTCAATGAAAACATTCGGGTCCCATTTTCTAAGGAAGAGCGGGATTCCATTAATCTTCCAAATTCCCTTTTGTAGGACGTAATTCATACCCTTGTCATTATCGAATTTAAAAAAGAACATGTCAACGTTCTTAATAAAGATGTCACATATCCCATGTTCCTTCCAAATGTCTTGTAGCCGATCTTTGACAAGCGGGAAGGGAAGTCTTTTTCCCACAAATAACCATATAAGGTTCTTTCAAAGGGAGCGCTACCCTTTTCCATGATTTCCGAGGGAATTCAAATGTGATCATCCTCCACAATATTAATATTATTAATGAAATTAAGAGAGATAGGCTTAGAAAATACCCCATCAAAATTTTCAGCTTCACTTAAGTGAGAATCGAATTTGGCAGCAAGGGGAGGATCTGAATTGGGCTCAAGAGGAGTTGGGCCAGTACCACCTTTTAAAATTTCAGCAAAGGAACGAGGGGGTGGACATTCCTTGGACTATTGGGCTCATAATGCGTACTAAGTGGGCTGATGGGCTCAAAGTGCATAGGATTTGGATTAGAGGCAATATGGGTCGGCAGGGAATTAATTAGGGAAGGGCAAATGGGTTTCATGATCGGTTGAGAAGGGGTAGAGGGGGGCACGTGCTGGCTAGAAGAGTGGAGGAGAGAATTAGCTGCATTAAATGCTGAGGGTCCACCATTTTGTGAGTCATTAATGGGCATAGGGGAAACCGACGCCATACACCTCTCAGGATCACTATTTTTGGATGGAATCAAAGCAGCTTTTAAAGTCAAGGACCCCAAATTAAAATCGTAATTAATGCGCGTGGTGATACCTTCACAAGGATGCAACAGCAGCAGATCTCCCATTCCTTTTTTATTGTTACTGATATTGCCATATTTATACATATTTTTAGGCAATATTTATTTACATTTTTATTAATAATTTGGTTATTTGCATAGAATAACGGTACTTATAGGCTTAATTTATATTTTGCAGCCAAATAGAAGCATTTTCAAAGAGAGGGACTAAAGCTGACAAAACATGTCGTGAGTCAAAAATTATCACAAAAATGTAGCCTTTTCATTCACCTTTTCTACACACTTCACCACCATTCTCTTTGTAGTTATTTTGAAGATTATTCTGGCTCGTTTCCTCCACTATATAATGTGGCATAAGCTTTCCCACATTATTCTTCACGTTTTGGAGATTTGCACTACCTTTATTGAAGATTAAAGTTTCGATTCATTATTGGTTCTTTACATATCTAACAAGATCAAGATCCGAGTTCCTATTTAGAAGAAGTCCATATTCGAGATGCACATTTTATCCGCACGACTGGAGTTCGATCTCGCCGCTAATATCCCAGGGGAGTCTATTCCTTTTTCTCCCTTTCATTGTTTTTTAATTTATTCTATGCATACAATGAGAGCATTGTATGTAATAAGTGTGGGGTAGGGGGTCGAAAAAGTAAAAAGTAAATTGCTAGAAAATATAAGTAAATATAAATAAATTTAGAAAATTTAAAACTTTAGTAATAAATTTTCATAGGTTTGAAATAATAATCTAATAATTAGATCTAGTAATAATGATAATTTAAACTTAAGTTGCTAGCGTTTTGTGGGATGATCCGATGAGAGCTCAAATGTTTAGTTGAGCCAATACACGTTATAGTGCATTTGTGGCCTCCTTTATTCTAGTGAAATCATAAGACAAAAACACAACCTCGCTTAGTTTGAGGGATGCAATATGTTTAGCAGTCTGTACCTGAAATGTATCCAGGGAAGCTTATGTAGTCATTGCACATAGACTAATGCCTTAACCAATAAGGGTTGAAGTTAAGCGCCCCTACTTAAGCATGTAGGTTTTGAGTGAAAAGTAAAAAAAAAAGTGAGTACATGTAAAAAAAAAGAGAAATTACCAAAAAGTGAAAAGTTGAAGAATTTTTGGAGCTATAGAAGTATCAAAGTTTGAAGATCAAAGATCAAAAATTCTGAAGAAATATAAAAGTTGAAGATACCAAGAATTACACAAAAAGGTGGTAAATTCGAAGAATCAAATATCAAATATCAAAGAAGTGAAGAATTCAAGAGCTCCATAGTGTGGTATCTAAAAGTTGTAATTCTCTAGATTATGTATGCATGGGTAGCTTTACAAAAATACCTTGAGGTTAGAAAGTTTTTTGAGGATGGATTCGGAGGGATGCATAAAATGAGCATTGTTCAAAAGAAGTGGACGCGTGTTTATGAGGATTGTGAGTATTTAGAATTGAGGGGGGTTACTTAGGAAACGTTTTAGACACAAATGTACGCGTTGAGGTCTTGGCATAATGGCTGAGTTTGAGTTGGATCGTTCTATGTGATATTGGTGATAAAGGTTTAATTTAAAAATAATTAGATTTGCTTGAGGGCAAGCAAAGCACAAGTGTGGGGTATTTTGATATTGCCATATTTATACATATTTTTAGGCAATATGTATTTACATTTTTATTAATAATTTGGTTATTTTCATAGAATAATGGTACTTATAGGCTTAAATTATATTTTACAGCCAAATAGAAGCATTTTCGAAGAGAGGGACTAAAGTTGACAAAACATGGAACTTTGGAGGCTTGAAGGAAAGAGGAATAAAAACTCAGTAAAACACGTACTCACGACGTGAGTGGAGTATTCTAGAAGATATGCACCGGATGAAAGAGTCCTTTTTTAACACGTTTATCTCATATTCACGACGTGAACTTGGAAAAATCGGAAAATATATATATCCTTGTCCATTACGACTTTAGGGACTTTTGGCTGCCTTGGAGGGTTCCTAAAGATGAATTTCAGAAGAGAAGAAGTTCTGGAATAGGGTATCAACACAACAGGAGAAGAGAAGTTCATAAGTTGACTTATAGTTTGGTACATTTAGTATGCTTCTTAATATGACTTGTGTTTGTTTAATTGCTAATATGTCCAGCTTCTAGCTGCTTCTATTAGCTAGATGAAGCTGAAACTCATGGTTTTAATACATTAGATTTGACTTTACTTGTTGGTATTGTGCTTGTGTTAGATTGATTGAACCTAGCATGTTTGATTTAGTATTTGATTACTTTAAATTCTTGTTCTGTGTAGTTAGTGAATATGAAGCTGCATGAATATGAATACCTAATAATTTAGTGAACACTAGTTTATTAGATCTAAGATCAAACCAATCTTAGATAAGTAATTGGATCATTGAATTAGGATGTGCTAGAGAAATCATATTATGACCATAATTGTGTTTATTAAATCAATCTTACATGGCTCCAATCATATTCAATAATTGATTCTGTGTTAACTATTATGTGACCATACATTAGACTTACATGAATTAATTAATGTTAGTAGATTTAGAACTAAATTGCTAATACTATCTTAATTGGTACCAACAGTAATTGGCATAGCTAATTTATAAACCATTGAGGGAAAGTGGATTCGAACTAACAGAAGTGTTTTGTTAATTGATTGAATTTGTATTAAGAATTAAGTTCATCTAAACTTGCAAAATTAGATAAAACCCCTTCCTTTGTTAATAATTAGGTTAATTTAATAGTAAGTAGATTAATTAGTCAATACCGTTCCCTGTGATCGACACCCGACTTACCCAAAACTATACTATAGTCTGACTAGGTACACTGCCTAGGTGCAATTAGTTAGTTAAGGTAGTTAGGTTATAAATATAAAATTAGTTGTAGCTATTTGCACGCATCAAGTTTTTGGCGTCGTTGCCGGGGAACAACTTATTTGATTGTTTATTTATTTGCTTTAGATTGATCGATCCTTTTTGTGGGGTAAAACCTGCAAAAAGTTACTTATCAGCTTAGGTTTTTGTTTTAGTACCAGGTTCACGACGTGAGCCTTAAGATCACGACGTGAATTCAGTAGATTTTCGTTTTTCTTCGTTTTTTTTCTTTTCTGTTAGTTTTTCTACAACAACACGAGGTGGTGACCTTTACCACGTCGTGGTGGCCAGTCAGTAGGCAATTTTTATTTAAGTTTTGTTCAGTTTTATGACCAGAGGTTCCAACACACCTTTGGTACCACCACTTGAAGATCCAGAGTCATCCCTTCACAAAAAGAAGGATAAGAACGTGAAAGAAGATCAAACACCAAAGAAGACACCCTTACAAGAGTTCAAGTCAGTGTTCTCAAAGAAGACGGGGAAGAAAACGGGAGAGAATTGAATTCATCTTCAAAGGACAAGAGCAAGATTGAAAGCTTAGATCAAATACCTATCCCAAACGAATCTGAATACGAGTCCGAGAACGAGTTTGGACTATATACGAGCGAACCCAAAGACAAGCCAATGAACGAAATAGCGAACATCGAAGAAATGTCAATGGGAGCTTACAAGAAGCGAATTCGGGACGATGTTGGCCCTGGGTTAGTATAACAAGCGATTCCTGCGACTGCCACATTCGAGCTAAAGGGACACATCCTTACTGTAGTTAAGGATGTTCCATTTTATGGAAAGGATCATGAGGATGCTTTTAAGCATCTAGATGAGGTCAATGACATTTCGGATTATTTCAATGTCCCAAATGTTAATAGTGATACCATCTTGCTAAGGATGCTTCCCGTTACTTTTAAGGGAGCTGCTAAAGATTGGTTAAAAGCACTTCCACCTGGTACAATCACTACTTGGGCTCAGATGCGCGGACAATTTTTGGACCAATTTTGCCCACCATCGAAGATAGCTAAACTCAAGAAGGCAATAGCCAACTTTGAGTAACAACCGGGGGAGTCACTATACGAGGCATGAAAACGTTACAAAGGATTGTTAAGAAATTGTCCTCAACATGATCTTAGTGTTCAACAAGAGATGTCTATTTTCTATGATGGGGTCAATGT